GAAGCAGCCAGGTGAGTTGCAGAGCCCCCCCCCCGGCCCCCCGGTCCAAAACAGTCCAGTGGCACCTTTAAGACCAAGTTTTGTTCAGGTACAAGCTCTCCCTCCTCAGCGAGGACAGATCTGCACGTTCCCCCCCACACACACACAATAGTTAGCAATCCAAAACAGTTCAGTGGAGCCTGAGCGGTGGGTGTTGCCTTCTGACACACTTCCGGTGATGTCAGGGGGTGTGGCATATGCAAATATTATGCTAATGAGCTCCTGCACCTCTTTTTCTACAAAATGACCCCTGTCAGGACCGTGGATAATCCGCAATGTTCCCTCTAAGCTGAGTGAGCCAGCTCACAGTTTCTTAGCCTCCAGCTCATACATTTTTGTCTTCGCTCAAGAAGGATGGCTCCAGAGCAATGCTCCCTCTAAGCTGTGGAGACTTGTGAACAAAAATTCTGCTTTGTGAGCGACTGGCATTAAAGTCGTGAGCGAGCGATTGGGCTACTACATAAATTAGTTAGCTCTGGAGCCGTCCTTCCGGAGCGAATACAAAAATGGGTGAGCCGGAGGCTAAGAAAACTGTGAGCTAGCTCACACTAAATCAGCTTAGAGGGAACACTGCTCCAGAGGCAAACTAATTGATGCAGCAGCCAAATCGCCCGCTCACAACTTTAATGCCCAGTGGCTCACAAAGTAGATTTTTTGCTCACAAGACTCCACAGCTTAGAGGGAGCATTGGCTAGAGGGGGGCATTTGGGAGCAACACCCCCCAAATCATGAATTTCCAGCTTTCTTCCTTTTTAAAGTTCCTAGCCCTTTTTGTTATGGAGAGAAAAGGGGGAAAGTATGGCACTGTTTGTCCTGATTGCCTGAGGAGGAGCAGCTGCAAAATGGCTGTGGCTCAGCCAGTTAACCCCTTTGTGACCAAATTAATTCTTTTCTACTCTGTCGGACTGTCCCAGCACCCTTTCTTCCCCGGGCCCTTTGCTTCTTCCTTGTTTGTTCTTCTCTTTGACCTGAGCGATAAGTGAGAACTTTAAGGCAGAACACTGCAGTGAGATTTATTTATTTATGCTTTATGCTTTCAGCTTGTATCCCGCTCGAACCCCGAGGGGTCTCTGAGCGGCTCACAGTTACTCTTTATCCCTATCTATGGCCACACATATTCAGGGGTGGCGACTGCCCTACCGGCACCCAGTGGAGGGACTTGCTGGTCTTTTTTCCGGTTCGGCTTATTGTCGGCTCGGCTTTCGGTTTTGGCTCCTCTTCTTCTCCTTCTGGTGGTCTTAGGGGTCGGCTGTACGCTGTATTCGGCGGACCCATCTGGCGCACGGTTCGCGTCAGCGCAGCTCCGGCTCTGTCCGTTTTGGCTCCGCCGCGCCTGCGCCTCTACGTCCTTTGCGTCTTCTGGCTCCGCCTCCGCCGACGTCCGATCCACCACTGGTGTTGTGCCTCCTTTGCCGCCACTGATCGCCACTTCATTCGTCGCCGCCACCGCTTGTCATTCCGCCGTCGCTGTCTGCCGCCGCCGCCCGCTGCGATGCTCCATCAGACCCCACAATGGAGGAGGGTGCCCCCTGCCACCTAGGGCAGGTACCCATTTATCTACTCGCTCTTCGATGTTATTTTGCTTTCGAACCACTGGGTGGGCGGGAGCTGGGACTAGGGCCAGGAGCTCACCCTGGCCGCGGTGGGATTCGAACTGCTGTAGCAGCTGTTCGCAGATGTTACCAGCAGGCGTTTAACCGCCTGCGCCACCGCTCCCTCTAATGCTATCCTGGGGTTGCCTTGTCTGTGGGGGGATAATTTGCTTCCTAGTAGGGGCCATGGGAGGCGGGAGCAGGAGCCTAAAAAAGAACACCCGGTTTCACTGAGCATGGTATCTGGTTTGACTCCCGAACTGTAAGCCGCCTGGCTGTAATTGCCTTTGCAAAAGGGTGCCCGCCTCTAAGCATGTGCAGAATACCTTTGACTCACCAATTCAGTAACCACCATCCAGCTGCATTCCACAGCTCCCTTCCCCACCCTCAAAAATTTGGGGTTAGGGCAAAAGGACTGAAGGGATAGGGTTGCCAACCTCCTGGGATTACAATCGATCTCCAGGCGACAGAGATAATCTGTCAACAATGGCTGCTTTGGAAGGTGGACCCTACGGCAGCATATCTCACTGAAGCCCCTCCCTTCCCCTAACCCCGCCCTCCCCCGGGCTCCGCCCCCAAATCTCCAGGTATTTCCCAACTCAGAGAGGACAACCCCAGGTATCCTGCTGAGGCGTGTTTGAATTCCGGAATCCTTCCAGAACAGGGAAAAAGGTAATGCCCGGCAGATCTTCCAAGGGGGGCAAAATATGCCGGCAGTCTCAGGTGTCACCATCTCTCAGTGCACGACAAATAAGGTCTTTGAGAGGTTCTAAATAAATTTGTGGCCAGAATTATAAATCCTCTGAATACTGAGACTGCAAACTCCCCATTGGTTGAGGGTTTCCCCCCTCACTACGCAACTGTTATCTAGCAGGGATTAGGGGATAATCATTTCTAGGTTGGAAGACGTGATTTGCAGGCTGGCGTAATTGAAGAACCTCCACTTTTTGCTAGGGCGGTGATGAATTGTTATTTCCCCCACCCCACAGCTTTATTGAAGCCGTTTCAAATCCTCCCCTACAGTCTTATACCCTGTAACATCTCGTGTGAGATGAGTCAGGGCTTTTTTTGTAGAAAAAGCCCAGCAGGAACTCATTAGCATATAGGGCTGCCAAGTGGGGGCGGGGGGCGGGTAAACCCCTGCTTCAGAGGCCCGATTCCCACCGCTGCGAACTCCGCCCCCTGAAGGGCAGCGTGGTTGCGTCACCAGAGGTGACGCAACCACGTCAATCACGTTGGGGGCGTGGCCCTGATCATTGGAGGGAAAACTCTATGGTTTTCCCTCCGACGATCGGGGCCACGCCTTCAACGTGATCGACGTCGCGCGTCACTTCCGGTGACATGCTGGCGGCGTGTGCGCACACATCGACGGACGGCTCCCGGAGCCCGCGAGGCTCTCCCGCCGGTAAGAAAAATTGACTTGGCAACCCTATTAGTATAATTGGCCACACCCAACAGTAGAAACCTATTAGCATATTACGCCACACCCCTGACAGCACAACTCATTTGCCTATTAGGCCATACCCCCATGTTACCAGAAGTGTGGTCATCCAGCCACACCCACCTTTTGCTTCTTATTCTGTTTACCTTGTTTGTTGTCAAAACCCAGGGCTTTTTTTGTAGCAGGAACTCCTTTGCATGTTAGGCCACACACCCCTAATGTAGCCAATCCGGATGAGTTCCTGGCGTTGGGTGTGGCCTATTATGCTAATGAGTTCCTGCTGGGCGTGGCCAACTCGGGAGCCAGCCGGAACTCCGTTCCTGTGCGTTCCTGCTCAAAAATAGCCCTGGATGAGATGAATGCAGATACACTGATTCGATCTGCACTTCTATGCAAATCCCTCTTTCCTGGAAAACTGATGAGGAGCCAGGCTGCAGACAGACGGCTTCTATTAAGACTTCTGCTACAGACACTTCCTTATGATAAACCACTAGGCATCCGTGTTCCCTCTAAGCTGAGTGAGTGTGAGCTAGCTCACAGTTCTTTAGCCTCCGGCTCACACCTTTTTGTCTTCGCTCAGGAAGGGAGGGCTCCAGAGCTAACTTATGTATGCAGCAGCCAAATTGCTCGCTCACCACTTTAATGCCAGTAGAATTTTTGCTCACAGGACTCCACAGCTTAGAGGGGGCATTGCCAGGGATGACTTCACGGAGGGGCACTGGAGCTGGGGGGGGGGAGGCTTCTCCTGTGGAACTCTTGTCTCTTCGGCCAGCCTTAAATGCTTCAGTAGGTGAAGGTTCATTTGCTCAAATCGGACTTCGGAGAGGTCACCGGCAGGGCAGGGTGGTTTTGTGGCTCAGCGCAAAGAAGGCCGAGAGAGTGTGGGGTGCCCCGTGTGGCTTCCGAGGTTTGGACGGGGAAGAACCCGGTCCAGAAACAAGCTGCGTTTTCCAACTTTAATAACTGTTCTGCAGAAGAAGTCTGGTCTTCTCCCTTTCCGGGAGAAACCAGAGGGCAGTGGAGAGAGGCCCCGAAATGGAAAACAGCTGTCCAGGGAGCTGTGGCAACTGCTGTCCTGGGAGCCAGTCACAGAGACAGTGGTTCCCACCAACGCCTATCATCTAGGCTTGCCAACCTCCAGGTGGGGCCTGGTGATCTCCCGGTAATTGATCTCCAGCCTACAGAGCTCAGTTCCCCGGGGGGGGGGGAATGGCTGTTTTGGAGGGTGGACTCTATGACATTAGACCCCAATAAGGTCTTTTCCCTTCCCCAAACCCACTACTCCAAGGCTCCACCCCCCAAATCACCAGAAATTCCCCAAACCAGAGTTGACAACCCTATCTGGTGGTGGGGTAGTTCTTCTTCCTCCTCTTCTTCTTCTTCCTCCTCTTCTTCTTCTTCCTCCTCTTCTTCTTCCTTCTCCTCCTCCTCTTCTTCTTCCTTCTCCTCCTCTTCTTCTTCCTCTTCTTCCTCCTCCTCCTTCTTCCTCCTCTTCCTCTTCCTGTTCTTCTTCCTCCTCTTCCTGTTCTTCTTCCTCTTCCTGTTCATCTTCTTCTTCCTCTTCTTCTTCTTCCTCTTCTTTTTCTTCTTCTTGAAATAAAATGAGTAGCCAAAGTTAACCACATAAAACAAAACAACACTCCAAGATCGAGGAACAATTTAAACTGTCCCATCAAAAAACGTAACCAGCTAATTGTAATTATTCAGCTCATTAGCCAGTCTCTTAATCCTCCTGTAACTCTTTTTCAGCCCTTGAAGTCACAGCATCCCATAGTCTACTAACCCCACTTGATCTCTCCTCTGCGTTCTCGCCGGCCTCTGTGGAAATGCAGCTGGCTCTGGGGTGTGGCAAGATAAACAGCCGAGTAGGATGCCTCTTGAATGCCTAACCCTGACACTGTACTCTCCGTCCCTTCTCCCCCTTTCAGAAACCATGCCAGTGCCAGACCCAAGAGGGGATACGGGCCGATGGGCCAACGCCAGTGCCCGCCTGCGAACGGCCGGCCAGCCGGAGCAGCCACCCAGGAGGAGGAAACGGAATTGGTTCTATAGGTGTTGCCGGTGCTGCTCAGGCCAGGCGGATGATGCCGATTGGGGACCCGCGCCGGGGGAGGTGCCTGGAGCTCGGCGGACGGCTCCTGTCATCCGTGGTAAGTGAGCAACGAGGAGGGCATCGGCTGCCTGGTGGAGAAGGCCCAAGGAAAGAGAGAGGAGGGAAACGTGGCTGGACTTCTGCAGAGCAAATTGTGTCAAATGCACCATGGCCATGCCGCTCCTTCAGTACTCCGATGCAGCTCTGCTCCTTCTATACTCCTGTGCAACTCCACTACTTCTACACTCTGATGCAGCTTTGCTCCTTCTACACTCTGGTGCCACTCTGCTCCTTCTGCACTCCAATGCAACTCCGCTCCTTTTGCACTCAGGTGCCGCTCTGCTCCTTCTGCACTCTGGTGCCGCTCCGCTCCTTCTACACTCTGATGCAGCTTTGCTCCTTCTACACTCCAGTGCAACTCTGCTCCTTCTGCACTCCAATGCAACTCCGCTCCTTCTGCACTCCGGTGCCGCTCCGCTCCTTCTGCACTCCGGTGCCACTCTGCTCCTTCTACACTCCAGTGCAACTCCACTCCTTCTGCACTCCAATGCAACTCCGCTCCTTCTGCACTCCGGTGCCGCTCCGCTCCTTCTACACTCTGATGCAGCTTTGCTCCTTCTACACTCCAGTGCAACTCCACTCCTTCTGCACTCCAATGCAACTCCGCTCCTTCTGCACTCCAGTGCCGCTCCGCTCCTTCTACACCCTGATGCAGCTTTGCTCCTTCTACACTCCAGTGCAACTCCACTCCTTCTGCACTCCAATGCAACTCCGCTCCTTCTGCACTCCAGTGCCGCTCCGCTCCTTCTACACCCTGATGCAGCTTTGCTCCTTCTACACTCCAGTGCAACTCCACTCCTTCTGCACTCCAATGCAACTCCGCTCCTTCTGCACTCGGGTGCCGCTCCGCTCCTTCTGCACTCTGGTGCCGCTCCGCTCCTTCTACACTCTGATACAGCTTTGCTCCTTCTGCACTCTGGTGCCACTCTGCTCCTTCTACACTCTGATGCAGTTTTGCTCCTTCTACACTCCAGTGCAACTCTGCTCCTTCTACACGCCGATCCAGCTTTGCTGAGCTTGCTAAAATTTCGACCGTGAGAGTTTTTGAAAGTCTTGCTACTGAAACTGTTTTATGGGACACTTTAAAACAGGCCACTGATCTTTGTCGATTAACACAATCCTGTTAGAGATTAAATCACTAAATTCAGTATTTAAGACCAACAAAGTTTAGTTCTGGGGATGAGCTTTTGGATGCACGAACACTTCTTTGGATGTGTATATGCACACGAAATACCCAGTATTAAACTTTGTTGGTCTTAAAAGTGCCACTGGAGTCAAATTTTGTCCTATTTGCTATTGGAGTTTTGCATGCCCTCATGCCCTGACAGCTTGTGGGCGCCCCCTAGAAGGCAGCCATCTTGTGGTTGAGCCCACCGCCCTGTGTCAGAATTCCAAAGGTGGGCACAGGCTCAAAAGGTTTGGGGACCCCTTCCCTAAAACCATGAAATCCAGCAACCTCCTTCGTTGGGAATGCTGTCAGTCCAGGGGTCATTTCGTAGAAAAAGAGGTGCAGGAGCTCATTAACATAACTCATTAGCATAACTTATTTGCACATGCCATGCCCCCTGACATCAGAAGGCAACACCCACCACTCAGGCTCCACTGAACTGTTTTGGATTGCTAGCTATCGGGGGGGGGGGGGGGGGGGATGTGGAGATCTGTCCTCGCAGAGGAGGGAGAGCTTGTACCTGTGATTTAAAGGTGCCACGCAATTTTGCGGGGGCGGGGGGGGGGGGGCTCTGCAACTTACCTGTCTGCTTCTTGCTCTGACTGAGGGCTGCTGGGAGCAGGGGGCGGGGCTTGTTGCATGTGCCCACCCCCTGGGCTCTTTACTGCCGGAGCTCCGCTCCCGTGCGCTCCTGCAGGAAATGACCCCTGGCTGTCACACATAAAATAAAACTAAGTCCTCATTTTCCTGAGAGCCCTCTTATCGGGCCGGCTGTCAGCTCTAGTCCTTCCCCGTGGACCCTTTCACTAAGGAGAGGAGCCCCAAGCTGCCCATCCCCGGGGAGAGACCGTCCCCGAGGTTGACCGTCTTCCTTCTTTGCGCAGAGGGCATGCTGGTGGTCAGCGGCATTGACATGCTGGGCAGCCGGTCGAGCACCAACCGGCACGCGCACCACACGGACGAATACGAATACGACAACCTCATCGTCCGCCGCGGGCAGCCGTTCGATATCCGGCTTCAGTTCCAGCAGGATTACGACCCCGAAGAGCACCGGGTTTGCCTCGAGTTCCTCATCGGTGAGTGCCCCCGGGGTAGGAACGTTTGGTTTCTGGCGTGTGATGGCGTTAGCCCCTTTACGACATGGAAGCTGGGGGGTTTTCCTCTCCCTCGACACCCTGAATTGAACTGGGGCCACTGGCCACCCGTCACACCCACCTCTCTTCCCCCAGCCAGAATTGTTGGGTGCGTAACCAAAAGCTTCCTTGTGGCAGTGCCAGGGGTATAGCAGCAATTCCCCCCCCCCCAGTAAAAAGAAAAAGCTGTGCAATGCACTTCAGGCCACCCTAGTGCTGTTCAATTAACTCAAAGGTATGTAGCAGAGGGGAGGAACCTGGCAGTGTGCTGCTTTATCAGTCGCTGATGGTTGTGGTTGAGACGGCTGCCAGCCTCCAGGCGGGGCCTGGAGATCTCCCAGAATTACATCTGATCTCCAAACTAGAGACATCCGTTCCCCTGGAGAAAATGGCTGATTTGGAGGGGGGGGACTCTGTGGCATTGTACCCCCACTGAGACGCCTCCCCTCCCCGAGCCCTGTCCCCCTGAGTTTTCACTCCTAAATCTCTAGCAATTCTGTTGGGATTCTTTTTGAGTAAGTCAGCAGAGTATTAAGAGACTGAGTCCGTGGTGTGTTTAAAATATAAAAGTTTACTATAAACCTAACATGGGAAAAAGGTACACAGGATATAAAATAACAAAGAGCTAATATGGCAACATCCTTACAGCTAAAAGCTAAAACGGGAAGAGAATGGCGTCTCCTTCTCAGTCAGAACAAAGAGAGGAAAGAGAAGCCAATATGCTAAATACTTGACACCTTGGTTTCCAATCAGACTAGCAAGTTAGCTCCAAAGTTCCCGGGCATTCTGTTGTCTAAACAGATTGGTTACAAACAAACATGTGACTTCCTGTTGATCATAACAAACAACATTAACCCTGTAAATACTGAAGTGTTTTGACTTGTAACACCCAACAAATTCCCAGGCCTGGAATTGGCAAGCCTACAGTGTGTTCAGTGATACAAACGGCTAGTAAAGTGGATTTAATGGATCTCTGGCGTAAGACAGGGATCTGTTGTTGTTGTTGTTGTTGTTGTTGTTGTTAATAAAAGATATACACATGGTTATTTTAGAATCCTAGAATCACGCAGAGTTGGAAGGGGTCCTATAGGCCCTCTACTCCAGCCCCCGGCTCAATGCAGGATCAAGCCCAGAGCAGTATTCCCTCTAAGCTGAGTTAGTGTGAGCTAGCTCACAGTTTTTTAGCCTCCGGCTCACACATTTTTCTCTTAGCTCGGGAAGGAGGACTCCAGAGCAAACTAATTTATGCCGTAGCCAAATGGCCTGCTCACAACTTTAAGGCCAGTAGCTCACAAAGCAGAATTTTTGCTCACCAGACTCCTGTTTGTCCGGCCGCTGCTTCGAGACTGTGGGGGGGGGGGGGCTCACCACCTCCCCAGGCAGCTGACTCCGCTGTTGCACAACTCTGACTGTCAAAACGATTTCCCTAAGATCCAGCCGGTCCCTTCCCGCCCTTAATTTCAACCCACGATTGGGAGTCCTCTGCTCTGCTGCCAACGGGAACAGCTTTGTGCCTAATGGGTAGCTCAGCTAGTGTTCTGTCCTGGCATAGAGATGAGCCCCAAACTCACCCGGACTTAGCTCTGGGATTTGTTTTCAGCGTGGAGGCTCTGCCGGGTGAAGTAGCCACAGAGAGGTTTTGAGCCACGTGCCCTTCCATCCCACCACACTGAAAAACCAAACCCGTCCCCGTGTGCCCGAGAGGAAGGGATCAGAGGTTTGGCGTAGTGGTTAAGTGCGCGGACTCTAATCTGGGAGAACCGGGTTTGATTCCCCACCAGTGTTCCCTCTAAGCTGAGTTAGTGTGAGCTAGCTCACAGTTTTTTAGCCTCTGGCTCACACGTTTTTGTCTAAGCTCAGGAAGGATGGGGCTCCAGAGCAAACTAATTTATGCAGCAGCCAAATCGCTCGCTCACAACTTTTAATGCCAGCAGCTCACGAAGTAGAATTTTTGCTCACGAGACTGCAGCTTAGAGGGAACATTGTTCCCCACGCCTCCATTTGCAGCTGCTGGTGTGACTTTGGGTCACCCACAAGTTCTCTCAGAGCTGTTCTCTCAAGGGCGGTTTCTCTCAGAGCTCTCTCAGCCCCACCTACCTCACAGGGTGTCTGTTGTGGGGAGGGGAAGGGAAAGGAGATTGTAAGCCACTCTGAGACCCCAAGTGAAGGGCAGGGAATAAAGCCAATCTCCTTCTCCTCCTCCTCCTCCTCTTCTTCTTCTTCTTCTTCTTGATTCCCATTTTAGATATTTAACGCCCCCCTCATGAGGTTAGCCATTCCCCCCCCCCCCACTGGCCCATCTGAGACACAGGCAGGCGTCCCACAGGGAGCCTCACGCCTACATCTCCGTGCTACAGAAACAGCCGGCCGGTTGAATTTCTGCCTGTCAGACAGCCATTTCGGGGAAAGGTGTGGGGAAACAGCCGGTGACTCTGCCCTCGAGTGGCGTGTCCTGTCAGATGGCGCTGCCAAGGCGACTCTTACTCAGAGCAGCCCTTCCCACACGGGGCCGCCGAGAAGGGAGGGGTTACCCAAAAGACAACATTTTCCGGTGGAACTGGTTGGGCCCGTGACTCTGTCTTATCAGCCTCCCTCTTTTCAAGTGGGAAAGGCATCCGTCGCTCCGCATCCCTAAGAAGGGGTTGCTAAATTCTGCTCAGGGGCCGGCGGTGGAGTGGAATGGAAGCGGTTCCCTCGGCCAAGACTGGACCTCTCCTCTAATTAAACTGGGGCTTGGTTGCCCACCCCTTACCCCCTTTCCCCTGCTCTTCCCCGCCTCAGGCCTAGCGGGCCTCGATCCCACCCACTGATTAGCTCTCTGCTCTGTAATTTCTTCAGCCGGCCTCCCGGACGTGGTCCGTCTGTGGCCGGAGGCCAAAACCACCTCCTCCTGGGATGGCCACCCGGCATCTTCCCTGCAGGCTGCTGATGTGGCATTTGGGAAGCAGGGAACAGAAAGCAAAGCGACCCATCGCTCACCCTGGAGAGGGGGAAACCTTAGGAAGGGGGTGTGTGGCTTGAAGAAGAGATTGGATTTATACACCGCCCTTCACGACCCAAAGGAGTCTCAGAGCGGCTTACAAACTCCTTTCCCTTCCCCTTCCCACAACAGACACCCTGTGAGGTAGGCGGGGCTGAGAGAGCTCTTGACAGAAACTGCTCTTTTCAAGAACAGCTCTTATCAGAACTACGGCTTGCCCAAGGTCATCCAGCAGCTGCACGTGGAGGAGTGAGGAATCAAACCCGGTCCTCCCAGATTAGAGTCGGCGCACTTCACCACTACACCAAACTGATGCAGCTCTCTCTCTCTCTCTCTCTCTCTCTCTGGGTTGTGGTGTTATCTCTAAGTCTGCGTTCACAGTGGAGGGAAGGAGGAAGTTGTGGCTCAGTGAAAGAGGCTCTGCTTGGCATGCAGATGGTCCCAGGTTCAATCACCGGCATCTCTAGTTAAAGCATATGGCAGGAGGTGATGGGAAAGACCTCCACCTAAGACATAAGAACATAAGAGACGCCAATGTTGGATCGGGCCAAAGGCTCATCCAGTCCAACACTCTGCGTCACACAAGGGCCAAAGATACCAGGGGCCATCAGGAGGTCCACCAGTGGGGCCAGGACACTAGAACATAAGGACATAAGAGAAGCCAATGTTGGATCAGGCCAAAGGCTCATCCAGTCCAACACTCTGCGTCACACAGTGGCCAAAAATACCAGGGGCCATCAGGAGGTCCACCAGTGGGGCCAGGACACTAGAACATAAGGACATAAGAGAAGCCAATGTTGGATCAGGCCAAAGGCTCATCCAGTCCAACACTCTGCGTCACACAGGGGCCAAAGATACCAGGGGCCATCAGGAGGTCCACCAGTGGGGCCAGGACACTAGAACATAAGGACATAAGAGAAGCCAATGTTGGATCAGGCCAAAGGCTCATCCAGTCCAACACTCTGCGTCACACAGTGGCCAAAAATACCAGGGGCCATCAGGAGGTCCACCTGGCCAGGACACTAGAAGCCCTCCCACTGTTGACCCCCCCCCCCAACCTGGCCAGGACACTAGAAGCCCCCCCCCTGTTGACCCCCCCCCCCAAGCGCCCTGGAGAGCGGCTGCCAGTCTGAGTAGGCAAGACTGACTTTGGTGGACCGAGGGTCTGATTCAGTAGAAGGCAGCTTCATGTGTGTTCATGTGATGCAGCTGGGACTCCCTCTTTCCTTCCATTGTGCCTGGATCTTGACCCAGGCTAGGGTTGCCAACTCCAGGTTGTGAAATGCCTGGCAATTTGGGGTGGTGGTGGAGCTTTGGAAAGGTGGGATTTGGGGAGGAGAGGGACCTCAGCAGAGTCTAATGCCATGGACCCCCCCCTCCAAAGCGGCCATTTTCTCCAGGGGGGAACTGATCTCTGTCATCTGGAGGCCTGTTGTAATTCCGGGAGATCTCCAGGCCCCACCTGGAAGGTGGGAACCCTGCCCACATGGGGTTATTGAGAAGGGATGGGTTACTAAAAAGACAACGTTCCAGGTCACAGTGGAAGAGGGAGGGAGTTAGGCAAGTCATGTGATTTGATTTTCTAATATAGGCCTGGTTGGTGGGGGGGGGACACACGAATTAGCGGGTCTCCAGTGACTCTTGGCCGCCCTGTCCCCCCACACCCAGAATTAGGTGGGAGCAGGGGCCATTTTGTAGAAAAAGAGGCGTAGGAGCTCATTGGCATAACTCATTAGCATAACTAATTTGCATATGCCACACCCCCTGACATCACCGGAAGTGTGTCAGAAGGCAACACCCACTACTCAGGCTCCACTGGACTCTTGGATTGCTAGCTGTTTGGGGGGGGGGGACGTGCAGATCTGTCCTCGCAGAGGAGGGAGAGCTTGTACCTGAATAACACTTGGTCTTAAAGGTGCCACTGGACTGTTTTGGACCGGGGGGGGGGGGGGGGCTCGGCAAT